GGATGAATTTGAATGAAATTTATGTAATGTAAAACCATGGCGGTTTAGAACAGAATTTAATTGCTGAAGTATTTCGAGCAATTCTTGAATATTATTTGACCCACATAAACCATCATCTACGTAGAATTGGGTTTCGAGAAAATGCGAGGCCAATGGGAATTGAATTTTATTTTTATTTGAAATCTCTTGCAAGACTCTCGTCGCAAGAAATGGGGCACTGTTAGTCCCGTATGTAACAGTATTAAGTTGAATACATTTTATAGAATCGTGGGGATTGTCCCTCCACAGAATATTTTGTAGAAAGCGTTGATCTTTGTTGATCCACGTCTGTCGAAACATTTTTTGAATATCACAGGAAAATATGAATTTGTATTGCCTGAAACGAACTAGAATATCGAATAGATCAGGTTGCACCTGATACCCTTTTAGTGAAATATCGTTTAGACTTTTTCCTGTAGAGCTTTTACAACTAGCATCCATGACGACACGCAAAGTTGTACTTTTATTTTGTTCGTTGATGACGCACAAATGTGGAATAAAATATTTTTTGTCATAATTTTCATTCACGAACGAAAGAGGCACATATTCAGCATGCCCTGAAGAAATATATGTGTCAATGAAGTTTTTGTACTCGACAAATAATTTTTTATCTTTTTGGAATTTATTTTCGAGCGAGAGAAAACGCCGTTTGGCTATAGAAAATGAATCACCCAGTAACTGGTGTTCTTGTGCACTTTTTAAAGGAATATCTACTACAAAACGTCCAGTTTCAAGGATCTTTGTAGTAGTTTGAAATATTTGTTCGGCCAGCTCGTCAGCTTCCGACAGAATAGGTTTTTTAGAAAGTTCTTCCATGTTCCAAAATTTTGTGAGCAGCTCGTCTGTGCTACACGTAGAAAGTAGAGCAACCTCTCCAGAAACATTGTTTGCTACTGTAGGGGCCGTCAAGTGAGGAGCTATCACGCCGGCGATTAGGTACCCCAGATGCGAAGCCTGCAAAATTGGAAGCCTGGGGCCAAGAGGAATTATTTCTGGAAGAATTAGGTCGTAGTACAAATCTGCCCCAACCAAAATGTCTATTTGACTGGGTTTGTGAAAGGAATCATCGGCGAGAAAAACGTCCCCTGGAATTGGTAATTTTTTTGTAAGAATGCGGAACTGTGGAAGATTGCAAGTAATATTTTCTAAGATAGCACATGAAATTTTGAAAGATTTTTTATTAAAGTTAGAATGCATTTTTATGTTGACCATCTTTTTTGAAATAGAATTATTTTGGCCTATGCCAGAGATATTTAGAGAAATGTCATATGGCTTATAACCCAGCCTATCAGCGAGACACCGGGTACAAAAGCTATTCTGACTTCCTGTATCGAGTAACAATCGGGCCGTTAAAGGGTTCCCGTTTTTGTCGAAAATGGTGACTTTGGCCGTAGCTAGAAGTATGTTTGAATTTTTTACGGACAAAGCAGAAAATGAATTTGTAAGAGGTTCTTGCCCTTGAACCGAAGGACCTTGAAAATTTGAATTAGACGAATGTTCGCGTTTGTAATTGTTTGAAATTGTAGAAGTTGACGGACTTTCATTATTGTGGGTCGTAGAAAAAGTATAATCTTTACCCGAAATGTGAAGAACAGTGTTATGGCGCTTTTTACATATGGTGCATCCATGTTTTGAGGAGCAGTTTTTAGAATAATGCCTACCTAGGCAGTTTACGCAGAGACCTTTTGAATTTACGAATTTTATCTTGTCATCATGCTGAATGTTTTTGAAAAATTGACATTTATAAATTTTATGTCCTTGTTTTTTGCAGTAAATACAATAAAAGTCAGAAACTAAATTATTTGAACTATTATTTTTATTTGAATCCTCTGATGTGTTATTACTGTATGCATGATGTGAAACTTTTACGTTTTTGGTTTGCCTAGGATTTGTATTTTCCAGGCTTTCCAGAACAATGCACCTTTTTTCTAGAAATTTAAGAAAAGCATCTAAATTTGGTACATCTGTATGATTTCGCTCAGTTTCAAAAAGTCTCCTTGTTGAAAAGTCTAATTTGCTTTCTAGCAGAAAAACTAAAATTATATCAATGAGCTCTGAACTTGAAAATTGCAAATTTTTCAACAGTTGCATATTTTTTGTTACAGTAGTTAGAAAATTTCTGAGAATCTGCGGTGAGCTGTTTCTCAGTGTAGGAATGTCTAGAATTTCTGTTAAATAAGAATTTATGACCGTGACCTTATTTTGATAGCGGTTTTTTAGAATATCTAAAGCAATTGAAAAATTTTCATTTGTGACTTTCAAAGAATCCACCAACTTTAGAGAATCACCCTGTAGATAACTTTTCAAGTAAAGAAATCTTTGGATGTCAGAAAGGGACTGATTTTTTATTATCAGTGTGTCGAATAGTTCGTAGAAGCTTTCAAAATCACTTACGTGTCCAGAAAATTTGTTTATACTGATTTCTGGGAGTTTTACGGCCATTTGTTTATTGGCGCTCCCTGTATTAGTAATTTCCAATGATTTAATTGTATTTTGAAGTTTTGAAAGAGTCGCGAAATAATTTTCTTCAAATAAGGCACGGTCACATGCTTGAGAATCGTCCAGGAATTCAATTTCATCCTGTACGCTATTGAAGTCAGAAAAAAGGTCTTTTAACCTTTCTTCTCGTGTTTTGAATGAGAAAATATCTTTTTCTGAGTCGTGGTTTATTTCTAGCCACGCTTGAATTCTAGCAACTGAATCTAGAATAGAATGCTTCTTTTTTGTTAATTTATTTAAACCTTTATTGCTCATTGTAATAACTTTAATTTGTTTATTTTTGAATGAAATAATTTCTTTTTGAATTAATTAATTCTGAATGATTAATTTTGAATTTATAATATAACAAACATGCGATAAGCTAAACAAAAATTTAACTGAATAGTTCTTTTCTGAAATAACTTTGAATTTATATAGAAAAGTTTGTGTTTGTACGTCACCCCTGGGTTCTTGGTACTTGAATGTGGGCTGCTTCTTCCTCTCTGGAGTCTGGAATCAGCTAGTCCTGGAACTGCATTTCTTGAAATTGTCCTGGTTTTTTAAACTAACACTGTTTTGTTCATTGAATGTTTATTTGTCCGTAGAATAAATAACGCACTCACTATGTCTCTAGAAATTATTGTCTATCGACGAGAATATCCGAAATACGCGAAACTTTTAATGTCTTTTTGAATGCGTAGAATGAAGAAGAAACTTGTATTGAGTGTTTTTAGGCCAGAAAGTAGTAGGATCAGAATACGGTTTGAAGTCATTAAAATTCGGCTCGAAGTGAACAAAATGGAGGGTGCCGGTTTACAACATTCCTTCCATGGAGAGGCTTATATGCAACAGTGTCTCTTTCAGCGGCTTTGTTCTTGCTGTAAGCCCAATTAGTCCGCTAGCCTTCGACAGCTCAGTAGAGAAACTAAAATGGACTTTCAAAGTTGCTTTTATCTGGCCTGTTGAATTGATATAGTGAAATAAAACAATTACTTGTTTAGAAAGAAACTGTAATTGAAATAAGAAAGGGCAAGAAATAGAGCTTATAAAATTTGAGTGTGTAACTTATCGTAGGAACTTAATTTGAATATTACAATTTGCGAACGAAAGCGAAAACACCATAACACTTATTCACATATTACGGCTTCCCGGTCAATTGCGTAAACTGCAACGTGGAGAATCCTCTCCGAACTTTTGAAATATAGATGTTAGCCCTACGAAAGTCGCTAAATCACTAGCCCCGCTGGAATATTTTTTTGTTTATGCATTTTGAAAAGCCGGTCTGTCGTCAAGTAGGCGCTGTGGGCGGGGATTAACATTCTCAGAAACAAGGTCTAGGTAGACTGGATTTATTTAGGTAACCGACGCGAAAATAGAATTATTTGATACAAAATAGAATTATTGGTTTGGAGATATAGTTCTCCAAGAGATAGGAAGAAACATGTTAGACTTAATTGGGAAATTGAGTGGCAATCCTTTACTAACAGTAGCAAAAATACATACTGCAGTATATATCCAACTCTTCCATCTACTCCCCCAAATGACAGAAGCCCCATCTCTCGGAAAATTTATACTATGTACGTTAGATGCCTTTTTGGACATGCTACAGTAAACGCTTACCTATATAAAATAAAACTTTCCGAAACTAATATATGTGAATGTAATGGCAGTTATGACGACCTTAACCACTGGATGTTTCAATGTCGGTATAATCAAGAAGCCATACCATTTTTTTTCAAGCCATCTCCTAACAAAAAATCATACTGCCCCAGAACGTTGCTTCTATTCTTTATTTAGGTAGTCGAAATTCAACTATTAGAATGATTTTATTGAAACTTTTCAAACGTACCAAACGGAAAATCTAATTTCTTTTTTTCAGTGTTGTGTGAATCCGAAATGGTAGGACGTTAGTTGTTGTATTTCCCATTGTCTTTCCTTTTATGTCATTTACCTTTAACCGTTGCCCTGTATTGTTTGTGTTAAAAAAAGTCGCTATGAAGGGCACCTTAGCGTAAAACGTGTGTTCCTATTCAATACTTTTTGTATAGTCACCCAATAGTGTTTTCAATGGGAAGGTTAGGAAATTAAGTGAATAAACGAACGGTTAGGAAATTTTCATGAACTTAAAGGAAGTGTAGGAGATTGTTTTTACGTATTCAACCAATTGTCTGGCTAAATAGGTCTTGAACCTAAGGCCAAAAAAAAGTGAGGAGAACTAGGATCGTTCGGTCATTTTGTAAGCTCGCAAATCAGAATAAATGACGAAAGACTAGCAAAAACATACAACTAGCTAGACAACAAGGGAAAAACAAGTCTGCCCAAACGGCGATTAAGGGGGGATGAGCAAAATCGACAAGAGGCAGAGAACCTAGGAATAGAATTATAATAAGAAAATACTTAATATAAATCCAGTAAATTATAAACTGTTTGTGTGTTGTAATGAATGATAACCTAAATAATAAATAAATAAATAATTTTCTCACCTTCATATTTTCCTACAGTTACCAATTCCGACCCTCTGAAGAAAATTGGGAAATCTTTCTTGGAAACTGCCTTTACATCAGAATCATATTTGAAATGGACGTTGGCTAACAAAGGAGAAGAAATTTCTTTATAGAATTCCTGTAGTTGCAGTGAGGCATCAGCGGCTTCGTAGATATGCCTCGAAAATCCCAAATTGTTCAGAGATAATTTTCTCAGAAAGTTCTTGTCTGCTTCATCACCAAAAGACAGTGAAAACAGTGGAACTTTAATGTCTCCGGAGTTGTAGTCTGTTGTCTAAAAAATAAAAGCTAGTTAATTATGTTCTCAAACGCTTCATCTAATTCATATCCATTTTTAATCCAGGCCAAATTATTTCGTCTAATTACGCTTCCATTTAATTTTCACTTAAATGTCCTAATTGGGATTTAAGTAATAAGAAATACTTACGATATTTGTAATTTCATCTGTATTAATGATGCCAGCGGTTGGATCTCCGTCTGTCAAAAAGATGACAATGGGTTGATGATGCGTCTTTTCAGTCTCATTTTTATAAGTATATTTTGCTAAATGTAGACCAGTTATTAAACTAGAAAGCATATTTGTTATACCTTCGTCCTGAAGTTTCTCTATTACCTCTTTTCCTTTCACTATATTTTCTTTTGTAGCTTGAATTGCGGGTGGAAGTACAGCTTTCTAAAATAATACAATTATATTGCATAAAGAGCAGTATGTTAAATAAACGTAATAGGTTCGTCAGACGAGTTCTAGTCTACACATTGTGTATAAATATTTTGTTAAATCAAACAGAAACATGAGTAAATGAGGATTGAGTCCCAATTTTTCGATTACTAGCCTGAATTGTTGTAATTTAGAAATATCAGATGCCGTGAATTGAAATTCTATTGATTCAGCAACTTGTTCAGTTTGATCATAAACGTAAATAGTTTCAGATAGAACAAGAAATAATTATAGAAGAATGAAACATATCACAACTAGATTTTAATGGTGTGATAGCAAAATGGAACAACAAGGTTATCGACGAATCATACTTACTGTCTGAAATTTGCACATGACATAGTTTTAATAACAGATAATATCCAAGAATTTGTACCTACGGGTTAGCGACCGTAGCCATAACTAGGAAATCTGCTTAAAAACTAGAAACAACGTAAAGGGCAATGAAACGAAACATGCTTGGAATATCACTAAGAGACTCTGAAAAAAATGAAATGGCGCTGAGCCGGTTATATAGCCAGATATGACGATAACAGGTGGATACGGAGAATTCTTAGGTGGCATCCAAAGGAGACGACAAGAAGCATAGGAAGACCTCAAAAAAGATAAATAACTGTAAAAAAAAACAAAATAGAGAAGACAGAAGCAATTGGGAGAGACCTATATTCTGGAGTGAATGGAAAATAGTCAAAGAAGAGAAGAAATAGCCACATTACATTTTATGTTATCATTGTATTTGAAATTTGTTAAATGGAGATCTTATTTTAATAAATTCTTATACCAAACCGAGACAAGAAGACCAACATTTCTAATTTTTATGCTCTGAACAGTCTTGTATAAAGACCGCTATAATCTTTTAAGACAAAAACTTTGTAATTATGTATTTCAAAACTTAGTATAATTATTTTCGTGTTCGGCATCTTCATATTTTACATCTCAGCCATTTATTCTTTATTTATAATCCCTCTCTTAGTAGAAAAGAAAATAGATGCAGAATCATAAAATTAAGAAATTAGGAAATAAAAACAAACTAAAATATACGTACCAATACATCTTCGAAAGGTTTATCGTCATCGGTAATGTTGACTTTAATTTTTTCTTTATTATTTATATCCCATACATAAACAAACGTATTAAATTCAATAATATGGAAAGTATCATCATCTTTCAGTTGGCTTAAAATACTCGCCATTGCATCTTTCAACTGTTTTAATTTCTGACCATACATGCTGCCACTTGTATCCAAGATGAAAACGATGTGTTCCGTTAGAGGTTTTATATTTTCTGGTGCGAAAAAGTGGACAAAATAACCATCGTTAAGTAATACCTAAATAAAAAAAAAACATACTAATGATAACACCAGAAACTTTCGGATATATTACTTTATTACTACGATTTTTACGAACCATAATTTTATGCTAAACATTATAGGTACTAATAGCTTCTATTCTCTGATCGCTACACTGTTACATTGTAATGATACCAGAAACAACTATAATAGGTATGTATATTCGAGAGATATAAGCTTTTAATGCAACAAATATTTATCGTGATGAGATTTAATTGGCTTCCAAAAGACCATGTAACTTACAAGTGTGCAACTACAGGGACAATTTTAGACAAACTCAAAACACTTTTTGTATTTTCTCATCAGTAGTAGCATTATTTATTTAAAACGATGTTTGAAATTTGAAATTTTAATAATAAAATAATTTACTTACTTCACCGCCAGATGGATCTCTTTCAACGTCGTATTGAACAATAAACTGTCCAGTTAAACCCTCATTTTCTTTACCGCCAAGAGTTTTAATGAAATTCTTCTGTTTTTCTATATCAGGTTTAAAGGTTACAACTGCACTAGTTGAATTTATAATATTTACTACTGAAGCTGGATCTAACGTTTCGTCGTTTTTGCCTATTTCGTTTCCAGAACGCAGCGATGGAGTTTTTACGAATTTCAAAGGCCTCGTTTCGTTAACGATAACCTAAATATAAAAATATAATTAAAATTATCGTTGAATATTAAGTGTGTAATACTTATGTACGGCAAAATAACATAAAAGAACTGAGTAAGTCATAAAATAGTTTGAAAATCTAACAAATATTATAGGTATAACAAATTTTTATAAACTGATACTTTGTATAATACTTTTACCTCTACATGTAAATCCTTCACTATTTGTCCAGGGTGAATATTCAACACCAGTTCGTATTTATTATTTTTTCTCTGTAAGAGTTCTTCGTAAGTAAGATAAAATATTGCTTTGGTTTCTGGTTCTACATTGACAGATACAGTAAATCTATTAGAGTCTCTAGCACTTACTGCTACATAACCTGCGCTTTGACCACTTTGCACCGCCTAAAAAGAGTTAATATGTATATACATAACAAGTCATCACACAAATCGTAATAAGAGTAGTTTGTGTGTAAATTTACATTTAGATGAAGTTGGTTGGCAATTTAACCATTTCACAAATCATACATGCCAGTAGATGACATTTACAATTTTTCTACAATATAAGGATAGTTTGTAAACATATTATATTGTTTAAAATTGTATATACAGTGCTTTTCAGATAAAACTATCCACCTTAAATAACTTTTGAACTTCGAATTTTTTGGAAAAACGCAAAAACCGTCAATTAATATCTGAAGGGGGAGACATTATATCATATTTAATGTTGCTGGAAAATGCACCCTCTCACCCCGTATCAACCCTTTATTTTTTTTAATTACTTCCCTTTTTTATTTTATATTTAGATTCTCCTTTTTGTACTGATTTCAAAAATGTATAATACCTTTGGCTTGTGGCTGTTTTATCGGTACACCAAAACCTAGAGACAGTGTTTTCTCTGTTATTTACCGACAAAATGTCTCTAAATTTGGACACGTTATTCAAAATTATGTTGCCTTTAAACTGATGGTTTTACTTTTTTAATTTTTTTGAAAGTTCTTTTGAAATATCGGATTATGCAGTTTAACGTTCTATTATAACCAAACTTTTTACGCCCATCACTTGAAAGAGTTTTTTTCTGTAATCGTTGATTTTTTTTTCACCTTTCTGTGTCCAGTAATAATCGAGAAAAGCGTGTTCAAACTTTGAAGAAAATTGCTAAAAAATACTGAAATCTAATAGTAAAACGTGTTAGTCATCATTGACACTTAGTTTAATCGTTATCGCTTCGTGACGTCAAATCTCATGAACGTACGGTCAGTTAGTTCGATTTGAAATAATTTTCAAGCTATAACTGCGAAATTGTTTATTTGTTTGTGTCAACAAATTGTATTTTTGTGATAATAATATTTTTATGTTATTTTAAATTATTATAAATAACACCATGATGTTTTTTGCAGTCACGTTTCACAAATTTTTATTCAATACTATATTTAGCTAAGACATATAAATTAAAAATGTGATAATTCTTTTTAAAACATCTACGATAATCAATCAAAAAAGGTATTCTCGACAAAACTAATTTGAATGGAGAATAATGCATTTGTTGTCATTAAACTACCCGTCGGCCGGCGCCACTGAGTAAACAGCTGTACCCGTCGGCTGGCGTAAGCAGTGTAGAAAAGTAAGTGATACGCCCATTTAAATCGCAGTGTGCTTTGACTGCTAAAACAGCCTTAATTGCCTGTAACAAAATAGGTTGTAGCATAATTTAAACTTTTTAAATATTTAACCGTACTATTTGTAGTACCTTCAAAAATCAATAAACAAAAAAATTCACTTTTTATTAAAGTTTTATCAAAGTTTTCGATATTATTTGGACATTTATTTTAATCGGTTAATAGCCTACGACAATTTGTTATAACTTGTAACAGCCTATTTTGAAACGTGTTCAATTTGATCGCTGAAATGGTTTACACTTTGCAAGAAAGAATCGAAATTGTAGGTTTATACTACAAAAATAATAATTGTGTAAGAGCTGCTGCTAGAATTTTTAATGAAACACACCACAATAGACATGCAACTCATAAGTATGTGATTGAACTGATGCAGAAATTTAGAGCAACAGGGTCAGTTTGCAATAAAAAACATAACCGACAGGGACTTGTAAATAACAAAGCAATCTCAAGTAGCTGTTTTAGGGCAAGTTAACTTAAAGCTTAGCAATCACAGACACTGCCAAAAATAAGCAGAGCAATCGGTGTTTCATCTTCTACAGCCTTCCGAGTACACCATAAATTAAGGTTCATCCATATAAAATTAAATTAGTACAAGAGTTAAATGAAGAAGATTTTGATCGTCGTCTCAAATTTTGCGAATTAATGACACAATGCTCATTAACAATCTACAATTGTTAAACAATATTTGCTTCTCGGATGAATGCTCATTCTCATTAAACGGTTTGATGAACAGACATAATTGCCCATACTGGAAATTTATCTTTATCTATTTATCACTGAAAACTTAAATGGTGCATTGTATCTTGAATTATTTAGGCAATTGGTTGATCGTATTAGAACAATAGTAGAAAATGATGATAACCTTTCCGAAGATTTAGTTGTATTTCAACATGTTGGAGCTTCTCTACACTTTGCTTTACCTATGCGACAATTTTTAAACGAAACGTTTTCCAGTACTTGGATATGTAGAAGACGACAGATGATGGATTAGTTACCTAGGTCACCGGATTGAACACCTCTAGACTTCTTCTTATGGGATATTTAAAAACAAAAATTTATGCTACTCAACCAGAATCTCTAGATGATTTACACAAAGAATAGAGGATGAATGTCGACAATTAAATGCAGACGTGTTAGCAATGTCAGAGAAGAATTTCAAAATAGATTGTACTATTGTATAGAGTGAATGGCAGTCATTTTGAACAATTATTGTAAACATTTTTGGTAGTGAAATGTTCATTCTAAATGTGTGTAATAAAATTGTTAAAAAATAATTTTTTTTCAATCCAGTTTTCTTGCTTTTGTATTTATTTTTCTCATAAACTAATCCCTTCAAGCATCATGTGTTATACATTTTGAAATCAGTACAAAGAGGAGAATCCAAATATCAAATAAAAAAAGGGGAAGTAATTAAAAAAAATAAAGGGATGATACGGGGGTGAGAGGGTGCATTTCCAGCAACCTTAAATAGATATAATGTCTCCCTCTTAAATATTAATTCACGTGTTTTTGCGTTTTTCCTAAAAATTAGTTCAAAGTTATTTAAGGTGGATAGTTTTATCTGAAAAGCACTGTATAAAACTCTATCCAAGTTAGAATATGTTTATGTTATTCTGTGAAAAACCTATTTACAGTCCTCTCCCTCTATAACGATATGCAAGGGACCGGGAAATTTCATCGTTATAAGGAGAGATCGTTATACAGAGAGAGACAAAATTCGGTACTGTAATATTAATAATACTGTACTAAATAACCTATTTTAATTTAAAAAATTTATCAAAACGAATTATAAATGAATTAACACTATTATACACCATATAGATTTATTAAAGAATAATACAAGCAATACAGTATAAAAAAATGGCTGTAAAATTAAAACATGTGTATTGTACAATAACAAAATAATATGCTACTGTAAAATATATTTAGCCTACAATACCAAAAAAGTCTGTCACCTTGGTCTGTTTCCTTTTCCCTTTCCACAGAACTGACCTGACCTTGTCCTGAAGACGCATAGAATCTTCCATAGCACTCATATCGTCTTCCTGGTGGATGAAGAATCGATGCAGTACTTTTGCCGCATCCAATGCCTGCTGCATCAAAAGTCTTCTCCTGTAATGGCTTTTTAAACTCTTGATGACACTTTGGTCCTTGGACTGAAGGACACTCAAGGCTGGTAGAAAACAAAGCTTTTTGACTTCTCTATCACTAACAATTTTTGCTTTACCGAACCTGTCATGTTAGCGGTCACTAAAACCGTAATGCGTTCCTTAGAGAGCTTTCCACCAACGCACTTTTCCGATTTAAATTTTAAAGTTCTGTTTGGTGTCATTTTAAAAAACAAAAAAACAAGCCAGTCTCATAAGCATTGAAAATGTCATCTGACGCATATCGTGCCTTCAGTCCAGGCCACACGTTTTCTAGCCAATCATCCGTTACGTTTTTGTTAACATCGCTAGCCTCTCTGCTGATTTGCCCGTAGTTAATCTTGTGCCGCAGCTTCCACTTGCTCAGCCAACCCTCAGATGCCTTAAAATTCTCAATTCCAAGCTCAGGTGCAAAAAACTCAGCTTTTGTCTTAACCACAGGTCCAGAAAGTGGAATAGGGTTCATAAGATGCTGCTGGAACCACTGAAGCATGGCGCGATCTAAATCTTCGTACTGAGATTTCCGCAACTTCTTCCGGCTATCGCCCTCCATCTCCGCTTCAAGCCACTTTTTTCTGTCCTGCCATATCGTAGCCACATTTGATTGAGACAGCCCCGTACGGCAAACGGCATCCGATTGCTTTTCACCTTTATCTATTGCTCGAGTTATCGATAACTTTTCCTCCACCGGAAAGTGTCAATAGTCGAAAACATGTTGACTATTGACACACTGAGGCACAACTCAAACTGAAAATGAAAAGTCGTCAATAGATGACAACATCCGTGTGAGAAGTCTGAACAGATAGTCTGAACTTTAAACACAATAACACATATTTCATCAACTATTGAACGCTGAAAAGTCATCACTATAAAGAGAGAACGATATCGGTATAGAGAAAGAATTAATACATTGTCCTTATGACGAACCAACCAACGTTTACTATTTTCATCGTTATAGAGGAATTATCGTTATATAGGGAATCGTTATAAAGAAAGACTACTGTATATTATATTATATATTTTCTATGGCTCTATAAACAAAAAAAGTATTTATTACCTTATTATAGATATTCTTCGCCTCTTCCTTTTCTTTGACATATGCCTTGTATTTTTTGCCTGTGATTTCCATAACAAATTCAGAAATATATGCATTTTCTGGTAAAACAACGGAAAAAACGGCTTCTTTTGAATTAGCATCTGGATTTTTTACTTTACTCGTAATAACTGTGGTCGCATATCTATTAGAAATGTTTGATTTGACTCCAAAGTCATAAATAATAAGATCTGGTGGTTTCTCAGTTCCCTGAAATGTAAAAAATATTATTGAAGTATTTTTTCTTTGTCCCGAGCTAAAGCATTACGTAATCCGTGTATGAAATATGTCCTTATTACTCTTTATTCAGGTAGTGCTAATGATAATGCTATTCAATTTATATCTATTCTTAAAAATATTTAAACTGTTTATAATAACACTGAATAATATTTAATAAGTACTGACACTACAAAGTCCAGATGAATCTTCACTACTGAAAGTAGTTTTTACGTGTAGTAAAATCGCAGAGTTCTTTGAAATTTAACGTGGTTTTTACGTTATACGTAACTTAAATACAATAATAAAATTTTATAAAAAATTACTGTGTACATAACTACTTTGATTAAAATGATATATTATCTAAATGAAAAAAATTAAGAGATGAGAAAAATGGGGACGTATACTTCTTGTTGTTCTTAGAGTGCCGTCTCCCTACGGAGGTTGGCAATCATAATGGCTATTTTTATTTTAGAACTTGCTGCTCTAAACAAATCAATCGATCTGCATTGATACCAATCACGTAGATTCTTTAACCATGAGTTCTGCCTTCGGCCAACAGATCTTCTTACTTGAATCTTTCCCTGTATTATGAGTCTCAAAATTTCATACTTTGGTCCCCTCATCACGTGGTCTAGTTATTCCAGTTTTCTGGTTTGTATAGTGGTGATTAGTTCTATTTCGTTACCAACCCTCTCCAGTCCATGATATTTTTATTACTCTGCGGTATAAACAGAGTTCAAAAGCCTCGATTCTTTTTAGATTGCATTCTTTTAATGTCCAAGTCTCAGTTCCATATAATAATATTGAAAATATATAACAGCGAATGGTACGTAGTCTGATCTCCAAATTTAGATTTTTGCACGTTAACAGTGGCTTCATTCGTATAAATGCTGATTTGGCAATCTCTATTCGCCTGTTTATATCTACAGTAATCGTTCGCATTATTATATTAAAAAGCAGTGGGTGTAACAAATTACCTAATCTAACTCTGCTTTGTATTGAAGACCAAGACAGACATGGAATTGAGCAATCAGAAAGATATTGGAGAGCAGAGGAGTGACATAGACCGACGCAAAGATGTCGACACGAAACCGCAAAGGATATAAGAAAATATTTGGAGTAAATTAAGCATTAGGTCATCATATGACAAAAAAGTTTATATATATATATATATATATATATATATATATATATATATATATATATATAAACTTTAAATATTGGGTATGCAGCAATAAAAATGAAAGGTGTACTCTTTTAAATTTTTAATCCAAGCTTTCGGACATTGGTTATGTCCTTCATCAGGGAGCTACAAATGTGATGAATAATTTTTTTCAAATTTTTATAATTAATTAAAAATTCGATACTTACAAACTTAATGAGGTTGTATCATAAATGATTTTATAAAATGTTGATAAAATTTATCACAGTCTGTCATATCTGTTGAGTCTAAAACCTATTCCTATATTTAAAATTTTAAAAATTACTTTACATTCACACACACTTAATTATTATACACAAATTTATGACATTGATATTATTAATTTTATTGTATCGTCATTAGTTTTTGTCACGACAATCCAGTGGTTTTTATTGTTGGCTTTTTCGGAAGTCTTCGTGCGCAAATTTAAAAACATTCGTCTTGACAAGTGAAAATCCCACATCCCTAATATCAAGCAACTGCTAGTACAACAAATTATAGGCCTATCATTAGGTATATCGTGAAAATATAAATTATTTTATATTTGTTAATATCATTAGGAAGTGAAACTTCAACCTGTCAATGTTTCAAAACAAAGCCTATTAAACTAACATAAATAAATAACGTCATAATTCTAAAAACGTTACAATTGATTGTGATTTTGTTTTGTATGACCCCAGTATCTGTGTGTATACAAAAATTATTAAATTTAAACAAACTAACTTTGTAAAATAATAAATTCCTCAAAAAAAAACTTTTTAATTTCTTAAATGTCAATTGATAAATTATTGTTTGTCTTATTGTTGCATTTATCTAGTGCATTAATATAAAATAAATTATCATTCACTACCTTTTATACCATCATTAACTTCTAAATTAATACAAACACTAAAGGTTATTGACAATATAAAAATAGCAACAAAGAACATCAAAACCATTTCATCTTTATATTCTAAAACTAAATATCCTATGGACAAATTAGATCAAACAAATGTAGTATACAGCATTGTTTGTACTCAGTGTGAAGCTGAGTATATTGGTGAGACTGGAAGAAATCTCTCAAATCGCATTATTTCTCACAAGAGTGATTGCAGAATTAAGAAACCATCTTGTGCTTTGACAGAGCATGTAATAGACAAAGACCATATTATGGATTTTGATAATATTAAAATTTTATGTAGTGAAAGTAATAAATTTAAAAGAACTTTTTTGGAAATGGTTTGTATTAGCAAAAGTGATAATAATTTAAACAAAAGGTCAGAAATTCAAAATCTAAGCAAAATTTATAATTATATTATTTCTATGTAATTTATATATGCAGTCAGTAAAATATCACCTTTTGAATTTTCCATGTATTTGTTACATTTTTTCGGGCATCTATCAATGGTGAATAAATCTTCTTCTTTTTTGTTACTAAACAAAGAAGAATTTTTTAAACAAAATTTTATTTTTGACAATATGTCAAAAATAAAAATTTTTAAGTTAGTATTTATGACATTTAGGCGGTTTGTAGCTATTCAATTTTTGTTTACAAATTCAATTGTTTTTGTTAAGAAACTATCAAAATTTTTCAGAGAAACATTTATTAGAATAGGACATTTTTTTATTAATATTTTTTGTAATTATTATGTAAGCAGCAGTTTTATATAACAAACTAATTTTATTTGGTGAGTTAACAAAAAATTTTTTATTTCTAGTTCAACTTTGTAAGATATTTTGTATTTTTTAGAAGCTCTTGATAATAATTGTAATCACAATTGAAAGCTCGAGTAAAAAATAGTCAACAAATAGCCCCTTTTATTGACTCCAACCCATCCAAAACAGTTTTATATTTTTTCCAAACGAGTCACAAGTACTTCTTTTTTCTTACTCTTATATATAATAATATATATATATATATATATATATTATATAATATATATAATATATATAATATATAATAATATATAATATATATATATATTATATATATATATATATATATATATATATTATATATATTATTATATATTATATATATTATATAATATATATATATTATTATATATAATATATAATAATATATATAATATATATATATATATATATATATATATATATATATATATATATATATATACAAATATACTAATATACTAAAATTCAACCATTTAAACAAAGCAACTAATAGAAACTAAAAGAGAAATCAAAGGAAACGAAAGCATTGACGAAGAAAAACTACGAAAAATAAATAAAGAAGTATCAAAAGCTATAAGAAAGATTTAAGAAAATTTAAGAATGAAAAGGTCCACCGAACTATAGAAGAGAATAAAAGTCTGAAAGTCTGAGAAGACGGCTAAACAATGGAAAATGTGAAATACACAAACTAAAGA